TTAATAAAATAGCAAAATAAAAGAATATTACCTCATCAGTTTGTGTAATGAATCATATCTTTACCGTTTGAATGTCTTTGGTTTGCAACAAAACAAAACAATCAATCTTGTGTGACATTTTATGGAGCAAACTGCTGTATAATCGAATAAGAGAGTGACATATTGAGAAATAATGAAAATGACTTTTTGTGTCGGTCTTCACATAAACACCCTTAATAAATTATTTTCTGACAATGTATGGCAATACATTACTAACACACCTTTGGTTAGTGATATTTCATTCTRTCGTACGATGCAACTGAAATCTTAGCTTTTCCTCAATGATTTTGTGTGAAACAATCATGCCACCCAATTTATTTTCCCTAAATCCCTCTAAGGTGAATTAAGCCACAGCATGACAGCGAGTAAATAAGCACTCATATCCTCATTAGGTAAGACGTTGGAGAGCAAGCTTCCGTTCACAAAGTGGATCTCAAAACAATCCACAGCAGGTATGAGAGCACAGCCGTCCTGGTTCCGATCAATTTTCAATTCATTCTAAAGTGAGAAACTTACTGAGAAAAAGAAGGCACAAGTGTGGCAGGAGGTGAGAAGTGTGGACACTGATATGAGCACTTAGAGATATTAAACTCCAGATTTCTCAAAGGAGGAGAGATGCAAATACACGCACTGACAAGATGACCCAACACTTCCCTGAGTTATTGCTAAGAAAACAGGTGTAAAGGTGAGCTGAAGTGAGCTCGAACGTATTAAAGGTTATCGGTATAATCATCTTTTTCTACAGTCAGAAGAGGACTCTCCGGAAACAAAAGCTCAAAAGTCAGTGTTTCTGCGAAACAAAAAAACTAAACATCAAGCTAAAACAATACAAGATTTAAAAAATAGATTATTTCTGTAGCTGTTGTGAGCAGTAACTGCTTCCCATTCCCACCTCGTTCATGAGACTCATTTACTGTCTGATTTTCTCAGACACTTCTCGGCTTACGCCTGCGAGGCGTCTCTTTGCAAACTTGACACATTTAATGCATGAACTCTGCAGCTGAACTGACAAAAACTGTATTTACAGCACCTCTCCGAGCTAAAAACAAGCCCAGCCCCGGGTCTGGCTTCTATAATATAACGCTGGCTGTGGTCCATCAAAAAGATTAAAAGATATTGGAATAGGAGGCGGCCTTCCTGCGTCTATAACAGCATCTTGGTAAAACTCACTCTCAGACTTTAAGAATAATTTAGAACAATGTCAGATGTGATCCTGGTGCTGAAATGTTAAAAACTGCATCTTAAGCAGGGTTGGTCTTCAGTTTTAAATGAGCATGCAAATACAGCAGATTGCAGTTTAATAATATACTGATCAAACTTTTGTAGACTCGCAGTTTTTGATCATTTTTTAAAAACTCCTCAAGCCTTGAAGCTGCAACCAGCCTCACACGGGGGAAAGAAACACAGACAGACATCTTCAAAGACAGAACCCATGAAATAATAACCAGCGAAGGCTGGCCTGACTCTGCAGTCCTACAGATCTCCCACACTTCACTGGTTTGATTTTGTCACCAAGAATTTTCCTGTCAACTTCTGGGATTCTGAAGAAATATTGGCGACAGTTTCGGTGATCTGTCTTTTAAACCATTCTGCTTTTTTAAACGTGTTCGTGCTCATGTGTCAGGTTGTGTGTATGTGTCCTGCATGAAGAAGAGATGTTTTCATATCCTTGTATTCTTTGATTTTCTGTGATAAAACCTGGGTCAGGACCAAACATAGGAGAAAACAGAAGAAAAAAAAAACCAACCAAAATAACTAACTAAATAAAAACAGCTTTTAAAACAATTTACCCTGGGGCTACAGAACATTAGAAAACATGCATAATGCAATGTCAGTTTTGGAGTAATGACAAAATGATTTGCAAAAACTAGCAGGTAGCATGCTTGTCATCAGGATGCTCACCACACCCTGTGCTTTTCTTTTTCACCTCAGCCTCCATGCTATGAATCAGCTCTAAGCTTCTCCAGTAGAGAGAGTCCACCTGACAGAACAAACATGTCCCTGGCATACAGAATACAAAACATGGCACTTGGAAGTTTATATAATAGCCTATGATGTATTGCAGTCCAAGCATCCTTTTATAATAATAATTTGACACATTTTGATACTATGATGACTATCAGTTCCTATATATTTTTCATTAATTAACCAGTTTATTCACCTATAGTGTATTGCTGTTTTAATGCAGGCCATTAGCACTCAAAACACTCAAAGTTATCATCCTTGTGAATTAAACTAAGCCCCAAAATTGCATAAATATCAAAATATAGCAAACCAATTCAAATCAATAAAAGTAAAGCTAAAAAAAGCCATATAGAGGTATTTGTGTTGTACAGTTATTGTGCATCTGTTCCCGTTAGTGCAACACGAGAGCACTTATTCTACCCTGCATCTACAGGTTATTGCTCCTGGTTGTTCCATCAAATGTGGCGTTTATGAGAGTTTTAACTTGTCTCTGTCATTAAAAAGGAACAGATCAAAATATCTCGATGGCTCACACCTTATATTTTGTTAATTTTGCTGAAGATGGGTAGGAAAATATTAGAAAAGGCTGAACTCTTGACCCCTGCTGTAAGGGGGATCCAGTGTTCTGCAAGAGGGGGTTTAGATTCTTGCACATCATAAAAACTTCACCAAAGGTGATTATGTTTCTGTGGTTTCTGGCAGAGTAACAAGTCCCATTAGAGTGCAGGACATTTGATAATGAATATGCAAATTATGTGAATCAGGGTTACCAGATTTTAAACCAGCTAGGAGGTATTTTGATGCTAAAAGAGGGAGGAGTGCATTCAGAGTTTGGTTGATTTGTCACTTTTATGTTTCTTTTTTTAACACATGTGGCTCAGTAAGTGCCTCCTTTGCGTTTAATCTCAAGAACATGGCCCACAGGGCAGCGCAGGGTTAGCCTCTCTATTGTGCGATTAATAATGAAGCAAGAGCCCAGCTGACTACCGACACACTTTATAAAGCTAGTCATCTCCAGGCCAACCCATTCACACACACCCATACACGCATGTCAACATGAGCACTGAGGCAGTAGACACGAGTATAGTTGTGCTGAGAAATTAAAAAAAAGGGAGGATTATTTGCTGACTGACAGATTGCTTCCCTGTACTTCCCTAAGGTGAAAGTAATTCAAGGTTTTGTCTGGCCATGCAGAAATGAAAACCCACAAAGAACAGACAGGTTTCAAGGACAGTCATGCTCAGATGCATTTTTACCATGAAAAAATAGATTTTTTTGTAGTTTTTGGACTGAAAACCCTACTTGATAAGTGTGCAAGTGGAACATTTGGTGACAGCACAGTGATCTCTGATAGTGTGAATGATGAGGCTGATTGTAAGCCTCATCTCTCCTGCAGTTTAGACAACCCTCAACTACATTTACATCCACGCAAAGCTATAAAATATCAGATTACACCCAACAAGGTGACGCCAGCATCCACAATGTCAACACTGATAAGTGCTGCTGGAAGTCTGCTGCTGTCCGCGGTGCTGAAATAAACGCGTGTCTCCTTATAATACCTGATAATGTCGTCGTTGTGCCCCAGGTAGAATTTCTGCTTGTGCTCCCGGGTGTTGTACACAACTCCCACACCGGCGACGAAATAGACAATTTCCTTGGCGGCGGTGTAGTACAGGTTGTTGCGGCACTGATGTCCCCGGTATCCGTACACCCACTCCAGTCTCAGGTGGCAGTTGGGAGCAGTTCTGTCAGCCATCTCCGCGCTTCCCGTCTGTGTCTCTCCGTCGCTGTCACGTAGTCTTTCAGATAAACTCTCATTCACCAACAGAAAAAGGGATTTATTTTAAGCCCGAGCGTCCCATATTAGTTCCATTGGATTTTTCCTTCTTTTTTTTTTTTTTTTTTACCCAGTCCAGCGCGAGCTGAAATTAGACATTTTTAAAGGGTTGTTCACATTTATAGACTTACTGCCCGATAGGATGAAATGTCTCTCTTCGAATAACTGACTTCTACACAATTCTTTTCATTGTGAGAGTCCGGCTGTACTTCTGCTGCGGGCTTCTGCTCCTCTTCGACACAGGTCAAAGCTCCTGTCAAATCCTACAAAGATGGAGCTGTTCGGTGTTTCCACAAGCACCGCCTACAACCGTGACGCAACAGCCTTTCGTTCAATCACATTCTTCGTCTCATCCGCGAGCCATCACGATTATCTAAAATTGTATGGCAAGTTGATTTACCATATAATATTCACACAGGCTCGGATAGGTCATGGAGGAATATAATAATACAATAATACATCTATGGGCTTGGCTAAAATTATTTTAATATTTACTTTAGTCTAAATAAATAAATAAATAAATAAATAAATAAATAAATAAATAAATAAATAAATAATTGTACACTGGACATTCCATATTTGTAAAACTTTGTCCTTTAAGCAATTACAATCACTTACAAATGTTAAACAATGTTAATATCTGAAAGTGAAGTACAGTGAGAGAGGTGGGAGATATTAGATGATATAGTGGTCTGCCATACATTGAATGTTCAATAGTTCTCACTCTATAATAAAACAAAAATAGCTTAGTGATAACATCAATTCTGTAATAAAGCATTCATTTGTTTTTTTTTAACAATAATGTTTGTTTTTGCATGCTTATTGTGAACCACAGCTCAAACAAATTTGAGGAATAGTTAAAAATTAAATTAAAATGATAATTCCAGGACACATTTTATTTTTCTCCCATAAAATTATAGATATAACTTATTTTCTGTAAGCTTATAAACGCAGTAAGTGTACTTGTGTTGCTTTTTTGTGGGCTTAAAATATAATTTTTTATCACGAAAGGAATAAATGCAAAACAGCTTTAGATTATAAATGGAGTTATTTTATTTTATTTTATTTTATTTTATTTTTGTTTTATTTTGTTTTATTTTTGTTTAGCTGGTCACCGGATGTCGCGGGATTGAAGGACCGCCTTGCTCCGTTGTTGCCGAGCAACAGGGGAAGCTTTTAGCTTCGCCTTTTTTCCCCCAGTAGCAGTTTGCTAAGCGACTTTGTTACCTGCCACGGTGATGGAGGTCACAATGGACCCTTTATTTCTTGCGTTGAGCTATTTCAGAAGACGGAAACTTCAACAGTGTTCAGACCTTTGTACAAAAATATTGCAAGACAGTCCCTACGACCAGGTATGAAGCGTAGTTAGCCGTCTATGCTAACATGCTATCTCGGTGGAGATTTACTAGCTGCTAAATAATCCCGATTAGTCGTGTATTATTAGTTGTATAGTTTACCATAACACACTAGCACTCCATTATTTGCTCTATATCCAAAACAGAATTAGTTACTGCTTATTGTTGCATTTATTCTTTTCTTTCCTGCATGGTACTTTATTCGTTTTATTATTGTTTTTAGCCTAATGCTATCAGCTTTATTTTTTCTCTCGCTCATTTACTGACTGCATTGTCTTAAGGACTCGTCCTTGCTTATCTCAGAGGTAAAAAAAAAAAAAATCACTGCACTCTATTTCTCTTTACAATTCTTTTTAATGTCCATAATTAATCATAGGTTATGAGTTTTAACACGTTCACTTGGACTTAAATCTGAGTACTTTTGTGTGTTTTAAACATTATGTGCCACAGGCTGCATGGAGCTTAAAAACCCGTGCCCTTACTGAGATGGTGTACATCGATGAAGTTGATGTTGACCAGGAGGGAATTGCTGAAATGATGCTGGATGAGAACTCTATTGCACAAGTTGCACGTAGGTTTGAGCTCTTTCTCAAGACTAAGCCAAATAATCTCTTGCAACAATTAGGACTACGGATGAAATTTAGCTGTTGTGTTCATTCCGGCGCATTTCTGTTCACAGAATATTAATTAATGCGCATTGTTCTTTTAAATAAATAAATTATTTTAAAAAATGACTGAGTGAGTAGTATTTAAAGTACTACAAATTAACTCTCTTCCAGGACCTGGTACATCTCTGAGACTCCCTGGAACGAGTCAGGGTGGAGGGCCCACTCCAGCTGTCAGGTATCTAAGGGACCAATCACCAACATTTATTTCAAGGCACATAGTAGATACTTGATTACCACCCCCACCCACCTTCTGTCGTTCAGGCCTATGACACAGTCAGGGCGTCCAGTCACAGGATTTGTGAGACCAAGCACACAGTCAGGGCGTCCTGGGACGATGGAACAGGCAATCAAAACCCCACGCACTGCAAGCACTGCTCGTCCTGTCACTGGCTCTTCTGGTAGATTCATTCGCTCAGGAACAGTGAGTGTCCAAAATGCAAAAGTACCTTTTCTACAGAAAAAAAAAACACTGATTATTCAGATTCAGTCTATTGTCTCTTTTTTATCCCTCAGGCTTCAATGTTAACCAACCCAGAAGGACCTTTTATAAATTTGTCAAGACTGAATCTGGCCAAGTATTCCCAAAAACCTAATTTATCCAGGGTAAGACAGAAACACATTTTTCCAGCATTTTAACAGAATATTTTTTCTTATCAGTCAACTGATCAGCATTTCCTTCTGCAGACCCTTTTTGAGTACATCTTTCATCATGAAAACGACGTAAAAAATGTAAGTTTTGCTTTCACCTGTGCTGTGATGAAAGCTGGTTGGCATTACATTTTGGTTTTTGAGTGAATACTTTCCGTACAGGCTTTAGATTTGGCTGCTCAGGCCACTGAGCATGCACAGTTCAAAGACTGGTGGTGGAAAGTTCAACTGGGAAAATGTTACTACAGGTAAGTAACTCACAACTATCTGCGCTGCTAATGTGCGTTGTTGTTTTCTTTAGCTCTTTTTGCTGATTTTTGCTAATTTTTTTGCCTCCTTAGGCTTGGTTTATACAGAGAAGCAGAGAAACAGTTCCGATCAGCCCTCAACCACCAAGAGGTTGTAGACACATACCTCTACCTTGCAAAGGTATTGACAGAACTGTGACAACAATACATTATATTACAACTAGGTGCACATATAAGAAATTTAGAGGAATCACGTGTGTATCTTCTCATAGGTTTATCTACGCCTGGATCAACCGATAACGGCCCTGAATCTTTTCAAGCAAGGCCTGGACCACTTCCCTGGTGAGGTCACACTTCTAACAGGAATCGCTCGCATCCATGAGGTAAAGTACGCCAACATGGAGACCTCTCCATCTGCTGTCAGGGTTTACTGTCTAAATGAGAAACATAAAGGGATCCATGATTAGTTGTAACGTTAGACTTTATTTGATAACTGTAAAATAAAGACTGTAAAAACACTGTAGGATGTTCTGTTTTTATCATTTTTAAACTAAAAGTTTAAAAATACATTACACGGACGGGGCCATTTTATTTACACACATTCTGGGTAAATGATGACATGGATAGGTCCTCGGTGCGAGGCTGCTAGCGAGCTATATCCACCCTGAAGGTTAATCTTGGACAATATCTGATGATCGGCTCTTTTAAATGAAACCAGAGAGCGTTGACAGAGAGGAGAAGGTAGAAATGACTCAGCCTGTAACTGAAAATATGGATGGAGGACAACAGAGCTGCTTCATGGAAGAAGAACCTCAGCTTAGCCTGTTAGCTTTAGCATTAGCCCCTACGCTATCACCATATATATGTTTTAGCTCAGCGCTACACATTCTCCTCTCGTCACTGAGGTCCTCCATCCACATGACTGAGAGGGGAACGCAAAAATGACTCAGCCTGCAACTGAAAATATGGATGGAGGACCTCAGTTTAGCTGGTTTGTCACGCTAGCACCGAGCTAATACATATAAGGCAATATAGTGTTGGCGCTAGCGTGAAGGCTAACAGGCTAAGCTGAGGTTCTTCCATGAAGCAGCTCTGTTGTCCTCCATCTATATTTTCATTTACAGGCTGAATCGTTTCAACATTTACCCAGAATGCTTTATGTGTAAAGAAAATGGCTCTGTCCTTGTTAAAATATATTTTTAAAAATTTACAAAACTAAACAGCCTACAGTATTTTTACACTCTTTATTTTACAGTTTAAATAAATGTTTATCAAATAAAGTCCAATGTTACAACTAATCAGGGATCCCTTTAATGTTATTAACTCATAGGAAATGAACAACATCGCCTCAGCAACAGAGTACTACAAAGAGGTCTTGAAACAGGACAACACACACGTTGAGGCTATAGCCTGCATAGGCAGCAATCACTTCTATACGGATCAGCCTGAGATCGCCCTGCGCTTCTACAGGTCAGACAGACTTTAAAGCTAAAGATGCGATGTGTTTTTAAAACTCAGGGGATGAGAGTTTAGGTTTGATTCAATACGTTGCTTCTTTTACTAGACGGCTGCTCCAGATGGGCGTGTATAACTGCCAGCTGTACAACAACCTGGGCCTGTGCTGTTTCTACGCTCAGCAGTACGACATGACGCTGTCCTCGTTTGAGAGGGCTTTGGCTCTGGTGGCCAATGACGAAGAGCAGGCAGATGTCTGGTACAACATTGGCCATGTTGCTGTGGTGAGTCAGCAAAGAAAAAAAAACCTCATAAGGTCGGCTGATTTGATTTCACTTAACCAAATCAGATTTATAGGATTGGGGTCACAAACACATCTTGTGTGTTCACAGGGCATAGGGGACTTGACTCTGGCATATCAATGTTTCAAACTGACTCTGGCTTTCAACAATGATCACGCTGAGGCCTATAATAATCTGGCTGTGCTGGAGCTGCGCAAAGGTCATATTGAACAGGTGAGCTGTTAAAACTAAAATATGAGGTCATAATTATATCTGTTTGGACCATTTAATGTAATGTAACATATTCTCATATGACTATAATTCAACAGCAGTTAAGCCTTTATGTCAGGGGTGTGGCCACTATCATGCACGTTATTTTTGTTTCTCTGCTCCAACACACTTCATTCAGTATTCAAATTACCTCTTCAAGTTCTACAGAAGCATAGTATTCACCCATTCATTCAAATCAGCTTTGTTGGAGCAGAGAAACTTTTAAAACATCCAGGACAATGGCCCTCAATCAGGGTGGTGCATCCCTGCTTTGTAAGGTGTCTTTAGTGAAATAATAAATACTCACTGGAGTTTCAATAGTTTCATTGTTCTTGTAGAACAGGATTTATTTAAAGGTTACTCTTGCACAGCTTAAACCCAACCAGAGAGCCTAAAGTAACCAAGAGTGCTGTCATAGTAGCATTCTTATATGAATGGCTATCTTGAGATGTTTGGGATAATGTTAATTATAGAGCCGACTATCTACTTGTTTGCAGTGCAGCATATTTCTTGTGGCTTCAATTAGCTGTCAGTTTTGCTGCTATGCTAATTCAAACATAGCAGTAGACTCTAAGTTTTTGTCAGGTTAGATGCTCTAAAACTTGGGCGAGGTAATGTTTTCGGTCACGTTTGTCTGTCTATCCGTCTGTCGTTCTGTCTGTGGACAACATTACTCAAAATCTTGTGGATGGATTGTCATGACATTTTTACCACTTGTGTGTACTGCCTCAAGTAACAAACCTTTAAATTTTGGTGATGTTCCAGATCACGATGCGACACAGGAATTTATTATTTTATTTTAACACCATTATTTCTTTTTCATGTCCCAAGTGGGTTTCAAAGTGTCCAGCAGGTGGCACTGTAGTATTGGTGTGCCCCTTTGTTCTAAGTCGCATGTGTGATGTCATATTATTGTTCAACATCATACCTTCACTGTATGTGCACAGAATATGTCTGCTTACATCTTTGTTATGACATTGATTCAATTTTATTACCTCCGCCRAGGGCRAGGTMATGTTTTYGGTCGYKTAYGTCTGCATATGTYTTCASATAAATATCTTTGAATACATTGAAAGTTTGATTTCCATCRTTTACTATTATGTCTAAATAMATGCAACATGATGTTACTATATTTACTATAAAGCACTGGAAAYGTGACTTTTCCAAGGGGAACCTTTTAGCATGATTGACCCTACTGCCTTGGCGGAGGTTTGCGCTGTTCGAGTGCTTCTAGTTACCGTTTGATTGACATATTTTGTGATAAAAATGATTTATTTTGCTGTTTTTTTTCCTCTCCAGTCCAAAGCTTTCCTGCAAACAGCTGCATCAGTGGCGCCTCACATGTACGAGCCACACTTCAATCTCTCCATTCTCTGTGAAAAGGTAATAAAACATTACTGTGTAGTCTGTCTGAGCATGATCAACAGTAAAGTGTAGATAAGAAAAACAAAATTTTAATGTTTGTGTTTTTTTTCCTTTTTTTTTTCTTTTTTTGTCTGTATCCAGATTGGAGACCTTCAGAGCAGCTACACTGCAGCCCAAAAGTCTGAAGATGCTTTTCCGGAGCACGTCGACACTCAGCAGCTTCTCAAGCTGCTTCGGCAGCACTTTGCTGTGCTGTGAGAGTCCAACACCAACAGCGACACAAAGATATAAAAGTAGTAAAAGGAGGGCAGGTTAGTAAAACCTAAATATCAACAAAAGGGGCATTAGTTTTATTTGTGTTTRTTTATTAAAACTTTATCTCTAAATTGCTATTTTACTGAGCACGTCTTTGTGATTTGGTACTTAAATTATATAACTGAGTGAGCTTAACTTCACTGGAAACATGTTGGATATTTCTAACAAAGACTGCATAATGTATGTAAAATATCACAGGGAATAATAGGGAATTTTTTTGCTTTCTAAGCAATTTTCTGTAAAAAGAAAATAAAAACATCTAATACATCAAAAYATAGAAATCCAGTGATTTGACCGACTTGGCCATTTTTATGTTTTACAATAAAATGATTCACATTTTATGTATTTTCAGAAACATCTTTTTGTATTAGCCTTCTTTGCCATTTTATAGAATATACAGACACGACAATAAAGAAACAAGTCAGAAAAGTGTATTTATTTTGTTAAAGCAWTTAAGCATATTATGGGTTTCCCCTCTCTTTTTTATAATAATAAATTCATTAACCCGTCGCCCTTGGGGACGTTTCACAAATCCACATCAGGTTATAACTGCACGGCGCATCGTTCCAAGACAGGAAGGGGTTGAAGTTGGGATACACAGCTACACAGTCCTCGTTGTTGTTGTTGTTCGGCTCTCCATCATGCCAAAACCTGCAGCAAACGACATGTTTTTCATAATTCTGTTCTCGCATAGTGTATTTACTAAATCTGTTATGGCCACAAACGTAGTGTCATCTCAATTTTCAGTTATTGCTTTCTTTTGAATCTAACTTTTACCCCTGATTCAGCCTCAACCCAGTAATCCATTTCCAAACTCCTTCCTCTTCTGTATCTGTCAGCCCGATCCAGAAGCCATTCTGGTAAAAGGACCTGGACGAGTCCTGATTATTTCTTACCAGCTCATTCACTGCCAGCTAACGACAGAGAAAATGCACACAGATTTTACTGCACAGAAATGAAATCTGATTTGCTGGCGGCAGAAGAAATGACTGCAAAGTCTTACGTTTTTTTCTCTTGTGTCTATGACGGCCAAGTCGCTCCCCAGCCTCTGGCAGAACTGCCGGGCCTCCTGCCATGTTGTGCGGTAAATTGTGTTGGAGAACGGGAAGTAGAAACAGCGTGAGCTCAAGAAAGTCCATCCAGGCAGGCAGTGTCTGCAGCCCTCTCCTGACGCCAAAGAAAAGAGGGATGATGACGTGCCGCAGGCTGAGTCACAGCAACAACACGTAAAACCATTAAAGCAAACAAGTCTCTCACTTATCATTGGTAGGTGGGATTTCAGTGACGCAATTTCCATCTCAACCTTTTCCACCTGCTTCTCGTAGTCTTTGATTCTGGTGCTCACGTGAGCATGCTCCCACCTGGTGACCTGCTGCTGCTTGCGCTCYGCCTCCAGCTGCTTCTGGGCTTCGTCCCTGCTTCGGACCGCAGCGTTGTAAGAAGTCTGCAGTTTGGCTATCTCTCTGTTCAGGTCACTCACAATGTTGCCGTCAGTCAGTTTGCTGTCTGGAAGCAGTGCAGGCAGAGCATTGTACAATACAAAACATGTCCACAGAAAGAGAGGTTAAAAAGCAAATAGATGTCAGGAAGAATGGAAAAGAAGCTTTACAACCTTCAGCCTACTAAATTAGATGTTTTTGTGAGAATGGGAGTGCGAATGTGTCTCATTTGTCTCAGTTTGACCCTGTGACCTGTCCAGTCCGTTCCCCCGCCTCTCGCACAATGTCTTCCGGAGATAAACACCATCTTCGACCAGCCAGGAAAATAACGGTAAAGAAAAATAATCTTGATGTTCTGCTCAAACATTTATGTGGAGACTTGAATTGAGGATATTTTTGTTTTAGTCCAGATGGGGGCGACAAAAATAAGCCTGTCATTTTCACTTCTAAAGTTGTGTTGGGACAGCAATTAGCTTTTAGAGAAGGAGGCAAAACATCTGATTTTATTGTTTGGTTACAAAGTTACTTAATGCTTCAGCATTATGAAATATCATAGTGAGAGTGAAATATGTGAGAGTCAGGTGGATTTATTTTTACTGAAAGGTGCAGAATTTATTAAAATTGTGAAACAAGAAGATAAAAAGGCTGTAGAGCTAAAGAAGGTGTTATCATTAAGGTGTAATCATTAAGGTGTTAACATTATAGTCATAAAGTGGATGGTTTGGCTGACTAGTGTCATGTGATAAATATTTATCTTATCCAAAGCTATTGATCAGTAATTTTACAACCCTAACTTTWTAGTTAGCTTTATCGATCACAAGCAAGACCTCACAAATATTATCAGCTTTACTTGGTGGAGTTTGGGTTAAAATAACTTACAGTAGACTCCCAGGCCAATATCAACTGCTAGCAGAATAGCAGCAAGCACCGCCAGACTGGCAACAAGCAGTTTGTAGGTATTCAGACTGGATTCAGGTCTCAGTGTGGACATGGTCACTGCACAGAACATTTACTAATCAGAACCAAAAGCATGGGCAGAATGAAAATAATACATAATTATCWAAATATTTACAGAAATTTAGCACAATGGAAGCAAACACTGAAAAATGTTCAGCATGTATGTTTATGTAATTACCAGTTATATATATATAATATATATGTGTGTGTGTGTGTGTGTGTGTGTGTGTGTGTGTGTGTGTATATATATATATATATGTATATTTTTTTTAATTCACAAATGAACAAAAATGTGTTTCAGTAATCTACAGGCAAGCAGTGAATTTACAGTGTTTGAGTACAGTTTTAGAATCTAACAGAGTTCATTATTATCATTTCAGTGGTTTCAGTACCTCGTTGTTCCTGGTTTAAGTGAAGAGGAAGTTCATCTTCAGTTGTTTCTTCCACTCTAGTTAGTTGCTTATAGGAGCCAGCTGGAATTTCTTTGTCCTCCATTTCTGGTTGTTAGCTTGAGAGGAGAGGGACGGGATTTTCCAGCAGAAATGGTTTGTCAGGACATTGCCCTGGATGTCCACTGTGTGTGTGTGTGTAACGTCGCACACACAAAATCAAGTTTGTTAAAAATTTACAGAGGTTACAGGTCACTTTAAGAGCCRTTCTGTTCTCCAAAACGAGACGATCTCAAATTTATTTGACACCATTTTATCAATAAAAACGTTTATTGTATTTATTGAGTTAAAATGATTATCCCWAACACATTATAAAAAATGCTTTAATTCTAGCTAATTTCTAGTTAAACAACAGTCATGTTAGGCCACTGTGAGCTCATTTATTTAGCAGTTTAAATCATTAAAAAATGATTGGAAAATACATACAGTATGTTGCCATTCTTTACAGTTTACATCTTAAAATGACGAATCATTCACAACATACGTTRTTTTGTATCTGATTATATTTCGTGTTTTGAAAACATTATTATGACTTGACCCTTCTTTTATTATTTCGTCTACCATAACTGTATGAGAAAGTTTAGTTTCTGCTTGGCTTCATCTCACAGATCCAGTTCAGTCGATTCTGGTGGCAATTTGCGTTATACCACGTTCTCATAGTATCWTCATAGTAGAGAAACGCAGCACAGTTTCCACTCCAAGTTTGACTGGTTTGGGGATATCCTGATTTCCAGTACCTTTTGGTAAAAGGAAAAAAAATTACTGTTTAGGTATTATCTCCACATTATGTMTGAGTAAAAGTGATATTAGTGTGTACTTACAGTGAAGACTCCTCAGTCTTGTTATGTACCCACATCCAYGGTCCCTGGGGTTCGACAGCCTTGAGGCCGATCCAGTAACCGTTCAACCACCACATGTTGCTGCTGCTCTCCTGCCTCGGAAAATTAGCACTAATCGTTTGCTGTAAAAAAAAATTATAATAATGAACAAGATCATCCTATAGATGTGAGCAATGACAATGAAGATAAAGACTGATCAGCACRATATGCTGAAATTTACCTGTTCCTCCAAGCTGTTGATGGACACCAAGTCACCACCTTTACTGACACAGTCTGCTCTGCTCTCTGACCAGTTCTTTTTTGAATCAGCTTCATTATTAGAAAAATAATAGCAGGCTGTCTTCAACAGAACCCATTGCGGTGGGCATCTGTCACAGTTTTTCTCTGTTTTAATGAGAGATTGAGACATTAAAAACATAAAATCTCTTCAGAAACTATTGCATCATAAGTTCTACATCTGTGTGTCAAAATAGTCTTTTATTTATTTATTTATTTATTTATTTATTGCTGCCTTACTTACCCAAAGCAGTTCTATTTGACTGCAGATTTGTTTTTTCTGCTTGCAGAGCCCTAATTGTTTTCTCAAGGCGGTCAGTCTTGGCTTTATTCCGCATCAGTTCCAGCTTTACTCGCGCAAAGTCCGCACGCTCTTTCATCAGAGCTGACTGGGCCTCTGCTTTGGCTTTCATGATGCCCGTTTGGTTGCGGAGGAAGTTCATCTCCAGGATGAGGGGTGTAGCTGCTAAATCTGAAACCTGGAGGTCTTTTGCATTAGCACCTGAATAATAAAAATAGTGTAAGAGGAAAACGAGCTTTAGCTAAACTGGTTATTATCTGTGTCACTTGACCACTTTGGTCCAGAGACAAACATCTCAGCAACTTTAAGGATTATCGTGACATTTTGATGAGACAAATTGTTGCTCAAGAAGGAATTAAACCTTTATTGTTTTTCTTTTATTTTTTGTACGTTTTTGTAAATTGAAGATTATTTTTGATTGAATTTATTTATTTGAGAAAAAGGGGCAGAAATCATAAGATTATTTTTCTTCTGCTGCCTTTCCTTTGGTTTATGATTTGTATTTTTATTGAGTATTGGATTTATGTTGTTTTGTTTTAAATGAACAAACTTTATAATAATATTTGTTTCACCAAAAAGATAAATGAATGTAAACGTAGAATGAAAAACTAACAGTGAACTCTCATACTCACAGTAAATCCCAATGACAGCAGCAGCTATCAGCAGAGCGGCATTGAGCAGGCCCAGGCTCAGTATAACCAGTCGGTTGTGTTGAAAACCAAATCCAGCTCTGTCTGCCAGCAGACCTTGAAAATGTTCCCATTAGTGTTAACCTTCAAAGCTAATTCTGTCTTTAGAAAGACGTTAAAAATGATAAGCTTTTTATTGTGATGTTTTAAACCTCTGACATTTCACAGGGGGGTCAACAGGTTTAAATATTGTTGAGAATGTTTGACATTCAGCACTTGTTAAAAATTCACATAAAATGAAAAGAAAAAGAGAAGAGAAATCAAGAGGAAAGAGAAAGAACAAATGCTGTATCTATGGTATAAAAAGAAGTCGGGCAGAGGAGGCTGCAGTAAAGTTGTAAAAATCTACCTTGTCCAAATGTTTGGCGATAAGAACCTTCATCTGTGGTTAAATCTTGATAAATGTTTCCTTCCATCGACATCTTTTCCTTCGTTTTTGACAGAAAGTCCTCCACTTTACCGTTGCGAGTGGCACCTATTGATCTGTTTGCCTCTCCTGCTCAAACTAGTGATAAGAGGTGTGTGTGTGTGTGTGTGTGTGTGTGTGTGTGTGTGTGTGTGTGTGTGTGTGTGCTTGTTTCTGCTACAGAGTGAGGACCATCATATTTTTAACCAAAAAGGTGAGGTAATTTTTGGGAAGTGAGGACCTTTTCCTGGTCCTCACTTTATTTGCAGCTGTGCTTTTAGAGGTATGATGTAAATTAAGTTTTGGTTGAGGTTAGGGTTAGGAGTAGACTGGTGGTCAGAGTTAGGGAAAATGTCTGGGTAAAGCATAAGTGCAGTGAAAAAATGAATAAAATACGAAGTCCTCAACTTGATGAAAGTACAAGGATGTGTGTGTGTGCGTGCGTGCGTGTGTGTGTGTGCGTGCGTGCATGTGTGTGTGTGTCTGTGTGTGTGTGTGTGTGTGTGTGTGTGTGTGTACATGTTTTTGCTACCTGGTGGGCTATAATCATTATAATTGTATAGATATGCATTTTTGTTGCTGTGTTTTTGTTATCTCTGTTTCCGTAGGTCTACAGCCATGATGTCGGGTGTGTTGTCTTGTGGTTTCTCTATATATATCACACATATCTTCTAATCTCTCTTTCACTCTTTTCTATTACATTTCACTCTTTGTTTTTTCTTCTCTTACTTTTTCTTCTTAAAAAAGGTCATGGATGATGAAGAAGTTAAGAAACTGATATTCATTTCTGCTTTCTACTGAAGTGGCAAAAAAAAGAAGAGGAACAAACACGTATGTGTGGGTTTGATCATGGTAAAAAAGAAAGTGGACTAATTGCGCAGAAACACATGTGGACCGAGCTTTTAGGGTGTGGACATTTTCTCACCCTATTTTTACCAGTCCTGTTTGGGACTAAAGCCTGTTTTAATTTGCTGGAACATAATTGTTAGTTTAAAGGTTASGCTAAGGGCTAAGGTATGAATTGAGTTTATAGGGTTTAGGTCATGGTTAGGGTTACTGGAGGTGGTTGGGTCTAGAGTAAAGGTCAGGGTTAGGCTGCTGAAAATGAATGGAAGTRAATGCACRRYCCTAATAAGAATAGAAATGCAAACTTGTGGTGTATGTTTGTGTGTAAATGTTTTAGTGTAAAGTTTAGCCACACCTTGGGTCAGGGTCACTTTTAGGCAAAGCTATGATTATTATTAAAGGAAACTGGACACAAACTTTCGCCGTGTCTYTATAGGGTTTTAACCAACTAAAAATTGAAGTTTTTTTTCAACTTAGACAAAAGAGATTTATTTGTTTTCAGAGCCAAAGAAATGAAACAACATGAAAAAGTCTGAACTGCTGTTTATTCCAAACACTCCTGATCCTCTTCACCTCCCCCAGACCAAAGTAGATCATTTTTTAAGGGTCACCTTTAAATTACTTTTGTAAGTTTGTCAGAACTTTATAATTTAGAGTAAAATATACATTTCAGGTTTTAAGATGTATTGTCATCTCTCATTTAGAAAAGTTTGCTTTCAGACCTGAAACAAACTTCAACAAATTGCAGATCTTTCTTACCCTGGCATACAATTTTACTTCAGAATGCCTTGATAGTCTTGAGATTTGATTTTACCCCACATACATTTAGACATTGCCAGATACAGTGAAGCAGCTTCTGAACATAACTGCTTCATGTTTCACTTTTAAGTACAGATAATGATAAAATTGAGCATATGTTTCCCTCAGCAACTAAAGCTTAACTCGTTTGTGCTTTTTCACAAATAAAATTTAGTACAACTTTACAATTCATATCATTCCAAGCCTTAAAGAAGTTTATTTCAGGAATGATTCCTGCACAGTCTTCATCATATTGGGCGTCGTTTGGTTCTCCGTCCCTCCAGTACCTGAAACAAAGAGAAGGGTATTTTATAGAGACCCATCATCAAGTTTTGTCACAAGAAAAAGAAATGTAAAAATGCAGTCAAATTCATCTTTGTGCAATCTGTTCATGTACATTAAGAAAATACCACCAATAATCAGAAATGTTATAATGTCCTATAAAGGTTTGACCAGAAACAAACCCTGCTGGATGTTCTTCTAATTTATTTTTCTCAATGTCTAAAAAATTGAATTCTTACGTTTCATCGAGCTCTGTTCCATCCACCCACTTCCAGGTTCCTTCCTCCTGAGAGTCTTTCAACCCGATCCAGAAGGCTTCATTGACTTGGTGATTTAACAAGTGACTTACAGTTGCATTCTAACAGAAAACATAAATAAAATCTGTTAACTAAAAAAAAAATCACAATCTAAATGACCATTGTGTTCAGACATAAAAACTAACCTCTTTATCTTTGCTGTCAATGATCAGAAGGTCTCCTCCCTGTATTTGGCAAAACTCTTGGGCTTTTTGCCACGTTTTGCGACCGTCACGGTCAGGGGAAGAGAAGTAGTAACACACTGAACTCGTCAAGAACCATCCTACAGGGCAGTGTTTGCAGCCGTCAGCTGTTGCCAAAGAAAATAACGTACATCAGGACACAACAAACTTCACACCATCGTGTTTATTTGTATATAAKGAACTTTTCTCACTAATCTTTGGTAAGTGTGTTTTCAGGTTTGCAATGTCCTTTGTCACGGTATCAATCTGCACGACGTAGTCTTGGCTTCTTTTTTTCTGATGCTCCACTTCCCAGTTGGTTTGCTGCTGACGGCTCATCTCACTGTCCAGCTGCATGTGGGCGCCCTTCATAGCTTCGATCGCAGTCTTGTAAGTCCCCTGGAGCTCGCCCAGCTCTTTGCCGATGCGTTCAGTGTCTTCGAGTATGAGGTGGGTATCTGTGAGTTTGTTGTCTGTGAACCGAGAGGGGGATAAAAAAAATCTTGTCTGTAATTAAGTATTGTTTCTTACACTGCATCACTCAACATCCAAGAACAGAATACAACCTTTTAAAGTGAGTCTTTTTTTCTTTAAATGAATCTGTAGCTCAAATGTTGAAATGTTACCAAAAAATCAGAGGAATAATTAATCTGATTGTACATTTCTGTGATTAAGCACTGCAAATCAAATAGATTTGCATAATGATCAGTCGTTTCAATTAACAAATTAACAAATCATTTATTTGCAAATATTCCACTAGCCTGATTTTTCTTTCCCCATCACACTTGCAGGCTTTAAAATGAATTAAAATATTGGTTCAATTAACTGGTTAAACTGATCAAACTGTGGAAATGAAAAACTTCAGAAGATTATTTCCTACTTAAGAAGTAATGATAACAGTAAGAACTTACAATGTACACCCAGGCTGATRTCAACTATAAGCAGAACAGCAGCTAGAAGCATCAGGATTCCTGCCGTCAGTCTGCAGCTTCTCCCTTGACTCATGCTGAACAAAGACACTGGACAGAAAAAATAATAAAAATATAAAGAGAATTAAACTACACAACGCTGATTTTTTTTAAATGGTAAAATCTTTGTGGAGTTAATAATTACAATTCAACCTATTTTTCAGCACTATTTCAGAACGCATCAGACAACTTGAGTGAAAGTTGTTTTTACCAGACTTCTCGTACCTTGCAGTTTGTTTTGGTTGGACTGGCTGTAAGTTTTCAGCTCGTCATCACGGAAGTCCTCTTGACAAACCAGCGTGTTAAATCCACCATCAGAGTCACAGCCTTGGAGTTCTCTCGCCTCCATTATCGCTGTTCAGTTGTAATCTGTTGTGTGCAAAGACAGCAGCAAAAGGTGAAATCAGGTCTCAATTTCAGGGAAGTGAAAATACTTTTGAGCAATTTTCCAAAGAAAAACTATTTGAGTCCTTCCTCTTAGAGCCATTGCATACAGTAGTTCCTTAAAAACACTTTGGATCACTTTTTCCCTTCAGCTTTAAATGAAGGTCATCTTATGAAGACGAGGGACATTAGAGTTGTTTTGGTCAAATCTTGAAAACATAAAATTATTGTATAGTCTAATGCGATCCTATCTTGCAAGATGTGTTGGTGCTCAGAGTATGTGTTGTGAATCACACAGCTACTCAACATTTAAGACTGAATTCATAAATTCAGTCAGAAATCTTGACTGTAAATGTAGTTCATTCAATTTAATTCAAAAATACTTTATTAATCCCAAAGGGAAATGAAAAGTTGTAACTCTTATTATCCTGGTTTCTTCCAAGAGTTGTTCAACGTGCTGATGGCTGTGGGCAGGAAGAATCTCGGTCCGTCTTACTGTAGATTTGAAGAAGGCTCTGACTGAAGACACTGACAGTCTGATGAAGAGGGTGCTCGAGGTTCTCCATAATGATCTTCATTTTAAGAAGAATCCTTCTTTGTACAATCATCTCCAAAGGTTTTAGAGGAAGTTGAAAATTCAACTGCAGTACCACTGTTCAACTTGCAGCACAAAGACATTTTTTGACCAAATATTGTAGATTTTAACAAATATGCACAAAAACTCTTCACGAGAAATCTTCTTATGAAATGTGCTCTTGTTTTTAGCTTATGTTTTATTAGCTTATTTATTTGAGTCCATTTGAGTTTTTCATTGTGTGTGTGTGTGTGTGTGTGTGTGTGTGTGTGTGTGTGTGTGTG